GAACACCGAGTGAGCCGCTGCGCCAGCCTGACCTTGAAATCTGTGCACGTGTCCCTGTGGCTTCTACCCCGCTCCACTCCCCTGGGTCCCGCTTCTTAGGAGGAGCACAGGAGGGTCGTCCACTGTGCTTCCTGGAGAGAATTCCGGATTATCCGAGCCAATGTCCGACATGGCCGTGATTCTGCCCCCTCCCCCATTGCTTTGCTCCTCATCCGGTGTTGCCTGCCTCCCGCCTCCCATCCCCCTCACGAGGCATCTGGCCCCCAGGACAAGAGCAGCGTCAGTCGTACATGTTCCCCAGACCTAAAGAGCCAAGGGCAAGCGTGGGATCAGAGAGAGGAAACCAGGGTGATTTCCGAGAGGCAGAGGCCCCAAGGCCTCACCGGCTTGGGCTCGTGGTGGGGCGGGTCCTCGTGAGCTCACCTCGTGAACTAGAAACAGAACCAGCTGTGTGGCGGGGACAGGAGCGCCCCGGGGGGGCTGCCTGAGCGACTGTCCCCTCCGCGAGCCAGCCGGCTACAGCAGCGCCCATCTGTGGGCCGTGTGCTTCCGGCGGCCTCTCGCCCTCTGACCTGGAAGCAGTTTCTCCCAAACCAAAGCCTTACTACCTCTGCTGAGGTTTGGGCTGGTTCATAAATGGCGTATTGCTCACAGAGAATGCCTTCAAAGACCCTAAAGTTATTTTTTTACTTCAATTACCCATTCCTTTGAAAGACTCGTTTGCACCCTAAGATACACCCGACAAATTCATTTCAAAAAACAGAGTTAGAATTTAGCCCGCAACTACTGCTCACGTCCTGAACCGTAGGGCAGTGGCGGCGAGTGAAGAGCTGTGTGTGTCCACTTGCGGTCCCTAAGACCGTCTGTCCCCTTTGTGCCGGCAGGTTGATGGTTTCGGGGTCCGCCGCCCTGCCCCTGCCTGTGCTGGAGAAGTGGCAAAGGGTCACCGGCCACACTTTGCTGGAGCGGTATGGGATGACGGAGATCGGCATGGCCCTGTCCAACCCCCTGACCACGGCTCGCACGCCAGGTACCCACCAGCCGCGTCCTCTCCCTCCCTGTGCCCCGAGCCCTCGGGGGGCGGGGGGGGGGGCGGTCTGGGGAGCGCGCTGCCCTGCTGGGCCGGAGAACTCTCTTGGGGTGTTGGCCAGGTGGCTGGGGCCTGTGCCCCTGCCACTTCCGCGCAGACCAGGCTTGCCGCTGGCCAGAGCGTCCCATCCAGGAACCACGCAGGGTATAGGGGCAGGGGTGAGGGAGCCCTCTATCTGTCTGGATGACCTTTCCTAAGTTCAGCATTTTCTCCGGCGCCCCGCTCCAACTTCAGCTCAGACTTTCACATCCCGGGTCCTTAGCAAGGAGTCCACAGCGGAGCCCAAGCCCAGGAGGTGAACGTGCCCCGTTTCTGTTCTCAGCTCCCTCCCCGTCCTCACAAGGCACCCCCTCCATGGTGTCCACAACACGAGAGGGATCGCATTTAGAAATAAGACCAAACACTTCTGTGTCTGTGATTATATCCACACATGCATGTATCTCGCACGTACGATAAAACTCACCGTGTCCACGTTCAGTCTGTGAGTCGGAAACACACCTAACCATGTAGCCCCCATCACACTCGAGACACAGAAACGTCCGATGCCGCAGACCCTCCCCTTGTGCGTGCTCAGCACTCCACCCCCCCAACCCAGGCCAGGCAGGCATACACCTTGTCTCTGTGCTTTTTCTGGAATGTCCTACAGGACATGGCCTTTTGGGTCCCTTCACGGGGTGTGGCGTCCACATGGACACATGTCCTTTCCGGCGCCGAGCGGAATTCCGCGGTGCGCACCGGCCACTGTTTGCTACTGCTTCGCCAGCCGAAGGACGCTGGGCTGTGTCTGGTTTGGGCCAGTTACCAGTAGGGCTGTCATAAACGTCTGTGTGCAGGTGCCGTGCGAACATATGCCTCGTGGGAGAGTCCTCAGAGGGGGGTCATGGGGTCCGAAGGCAGATGAGCACTTGACTGCCTGAGAAGATGCCACACCGCATGCAGAGCGGCTCCTGGCGCTGGGGCGCTCTTACCCATTGACAGACCAGGACCCTGAGGCTTGGGGGGCGGCAGGGTTGCACACCCACTGTGCCACAGAGCAGGTATTCGTGCCGTTGCACTAGGACACCCGCTTTGCCGGGAGTGCAGCAGCACGGCCCGGTTTGGAGGCACAGAGAAGGGCACAGAGATGCACAGAGAGCCTTCTGGGCCTTAATTATAAGAGCAGACACAAGGCCAAGAGCCAAGACCAGGAGCCAGGACAGGATGGAGTCCACGAGGGAGGCCCCGCGTGGGGCTCACCGCAAATGGG